TACCCACCACTGGGTTTGTCCGCCGTTTCCAAGGCGCTACATTTTCTAGAGAAAACATTCCACTCAAAACTTTCACCAAAATGTTTTTTGATCTCTTACTATGGCAAGAAAACCACAACGCTATCACTGTCAAAAAAACAGCCATTATTTTTTTCATCTCAACCGGCATTTTTGCCTCAGAGCCAATGACATTGCGCGAAATAGATCACGTGTCATTTTTAGTAGAGCATGCGCAGACATTTTTCGCCGGTGAACATTTAGCCAGCATTCGTAAGGAAAGGAATGCACCTAACGCAATTTGCTTCAACCCCTTGTAATATGATCACGCGTGTTTTCACCATCTGTCGCTTGAAACTTACGCAGAGCACAGCGTTGGAGCAAAAGCGTTAGGGCCTCCGATCATTCTCGCCCGCACTTCGTAACCTTTGGTTATTACTAGTATATATACGTAGATTTTTAGTCTTTCTATCATATTTTGATACTTTTATATTTACTGTACTTAGTTTTATATACACATTCTATCAATTGCATCATTTGTAAATACGCAATTCAGTCTTCTGGCTGCAAAGTATTGGTAATTTATCGATCGATCTATCTATCTCTTATCTTGTTAAACTTTACTCAAAAAATGTGTTAAAAAAGCGTCACGTTTACGCTTGCTATAGCTATTAAAGGAGGATGACAAATTAAGGAAAGGGGACTATTTCAATACTGGGAGTGAGCGTAATTCAGTCAAGTTTATTTGAACCATTTTCAGTTAAAGTTTATCCTTATGATGATTTAAGACGGAGATCATTTCAGGGACGGTGCAGGAGCAATCTGTTTTGCGTTAAAGAAAGTTTTGGCGTCAGTCAGTCCAGGGAATGAATCCGTTGCAAACTTGAGCAAATTTTTCAGCTATCTTTATTCAAGACAGCTTGAACCAGCTCAATATTGTTGGAAAGGTAAGCGCTGTGTTAGAAGTTGTAGTGAGAAAAAACAACGATAAGCCTTTAAAGCAATTAAACATTTCCCAATGAACAGCAAAGTGCTCGCATGATCGCGAAGTCATCTTGCTAATAGTCATCGCCATCACACTTAAACGTCTCCCTGAATTTTGTCTTTCTTTTAATGGGAAGCTTAGATTCGCCGTACCTTGTAGAAAGAGGTTTTTAGAAGCTACAGTTTTAATATTGTGTGTTCTTTTGTAGCTAGAAATTTCGAAATATCTTCATTTTTTTAAGTTCTGAATTATAACCTAGAATGTTGAGCCTCTAAAAGTTTATCAAAGGATAAGTGAGAAAATACCAAGTAACAACCCAGACATTTGCAATAGAACAACACTACAAAGGATGCTGACCACATGTTTTGAAAAATATATGTTTTGTTTGCTTCAAAGTCCCTACCCTTTAACGGGAAAATAATGAAATATAATTGTGGTTAAAAACCAATAAACGGTTACAGAAAGCAGCTGTTAGCAGTGAGTGGTTAGCAGTCGCGTGTAACTCAGCGACAATATCTTTCTGCAAGTTTCGGTAGTCTAACAAGCCGACCGTTTGGTTAATAACTTTAAATCCCGGTAATGGGCAGAAGGGTTGTTTGGAGTAAATACCTCTTATTAGCCGAGTTTTCGGTCCGTACTGTAAATTACGGACCGAGCATTTTCTTGAAAAATTTTGGTCCGTATAGCAAGTTACGGACCGCAAATTGACCAATCGCTTGGCGAAAACAGACTCAGCCATATAATAAAATTCGTTATCGGAGTTCGTATAAAAAAAAAAGTTTAGATGAAGTTGAAATATTCCTTGATTGGCTGATAAATTTTTATTCAAAAATATTTTTCGAGCTACGATAACTTGGAAGTTGGGTGACTTTCATTGGCAGAATAAGCGTGTTTTATTCTTGAAACGTACCCCGGGGGTACTCCTTGCAATAGCCTAAAGGGGGAGGCTCCGCCCAAAAAGAATACCTTTAATATTTAGGCTTCTGGGCCCAGTTTTTCGAAGGTCGATTAGCGCTAACCCAGGGTAAGGCTTTTTGGTCAAAAGCATTTTCCTGGGTCATTTTCTCCATTCTTTTTAGAGCATCTAATCATTAAATAGTAGACAAAAAGAAAAAAGTGAATAAGCTTTTTGAGCTTTCATATCTGAATTGAAATTTCGCACTGACCCTGGGTTATCTTAACCCTGTTTTGAGCAACCTGGTCCAGGTATATAAACGAGGTGAAGTACATGAAAGGGTAGGGAAATCTATCATTTCGGTCTGTAAAAAGGACCAAGGGCTAACTTGTGCAATTTATGGCTGTGAAAAAGTCGAAAAAACGTTCCAGTTTTGTGATTTATTCATAGTTTTAAAGACATTGGATTACAGCAGTTCAAATGTATGCAACGTTCCTAATTAGGTGCGTGATAGGGGTACCATTTGTCGATAGAAGGTATACGAAAAGGGTACCTTTTCTGTCATAAATGGTATACAGAATGGTAAGGAGTTGGACCTCGGGGAGGAGCCTACCCTTATTAACCCTTCTTGCGTACTTTCCCTTCCAATTGACAATAAAATTCTACCAAGTGATTAATTACTTCTCAGTGACTCGTAGTTCAGTGACGTACTCTCCCGTCAGCTGCTGCTATTGATTTTTTCTTTTCATAGGTGAAAGCCAAGAGTTTGCTTCAGGGTTAACGAAATTATCAAGAAACAAAAGCAATATGCGTCTTGCAAGAAATTAAGGTTAAGGTGAGCTCTCTATCGAAAAGTTGTTGTCAATGTACAATCTCCATTCTTGATATTTAAGAAGTCGACGTCAACTCTCTTAGTCCACCTTTTACTTACCTTTTTCAAATAACCAACCTAAAAAAAAACCCTAAGACCTAAAACCTAAAATTTATGTGCCTTTAACTTTTACGTTTACGCGCGACCTTCAATACATTGCCTCTATTTTTTTTACGCGCGTAAAAAATACGTGTGTACTTACCTGACTTCAGTCAATTTTACCAAAGCCGTAGCTAGCGTTTTGGAGCCTCCAAACTTGAAAGTTTTCTGGGCGAGGACACCCCGAGACCCCCCCTACCAGGCTCCTGCCTTCGGCCACCGCGACAATGCCCCCCCCCCCCCCCCCGCCCCCCAACCCGCCCCCCCCCCCCGCGCCACGCCCCCGGCGGCACCACAGCCCCCGAGCGGCGTCGGCTCGCAAAAAAAACCTAGCTACGGCCTCGTTTAGGCGTCAGCGGAAACCCACCTTATAGAGGTTTGCTTGGTTACATTGACCGCGAAGTCAGTCTGCGAACGCGAAAAGGAGAAAAGAAAGTAAGGGACTGTACATGTTACTCCCCTTTCTCTCCCTGTTAAAACAGGAGAGTGATACCTGCAGAGGAGATCACACAGTACCGGACGAATTTTCGACCGCCTGAAAAATTTGACCGGACACTTGTTTGATTTCTTTGTACGGTTAAGGTAGTTCCGTGTGAACAGAAAACCTAAACGCGTAAATTTGAAAAATCGTCCGACACAGTGTGGTGATACCTGCGATGAACAGGAAAGCGCGCACATCCCTTACCTAGTTCCCGGCACAAGCTGAGAGGCTGTAATGAAAGATTTTGTTCGTTCTACGTATTGGAGTCATTAAAAAGGAAGTTCATATTGACAACAAGTTTATGTCAGCAACAATTGTTCTGAAAGGTTTGGCAAAATTAAAAAAAAAATTGTATCTTGTTTACACTATAGGAGGTCTGAAAAACAGGCCTATCATTCGGTTAATAACTTGGTTAATCCTTGCAATGGGCAGAGGGGTTAAAGCAGCGAACTTCGTTATCGGACTTCGTATACCAAAGAAGCTTAGATGAAGTTTCTTCCATTGGCTTATTCATTCAGAGATATTTTCGAGCTACCCCAATAACGATAACTTGGAAGTTGATTGACTTTTATTGGCACAATCAGTGTGCAATACGATAGAGTCTCTTTGTGAATATTTAATGACTTATTCGAGTTTAATGGTGGACATGTAAAAAAAACGTACCCGGGGGGTACTCCCTACAGTGGCCTATAAGGGGAAGCTCCGCCCAAAAAGAAAACCTTATTTAGGCTTCAGGTATATAAAAGAGTGGGGATTTACTGGCTGAAGTATATGAAAGGGTAGGGAAATCTATCATTTCGGTCTTTAAAAAGGCCCGAAGGCCTAACAGATGCATTTTATGGCTGTGCAAAAATCGAGAAAACGTTCTAGTTTTGCGATTTATTCATATTTAAAGGACATTGGATTACAGCAGTTAAAATGTATGCAAAGTACGCCTACGCGTATAAACCTTTCTTGAGTACTCCCCCCTTCCCAATGATGATAAACTTTCTACCAGGTGATCAGTTACTTCTTAGTTGTAGTTCAATGAGCGCCAACAATAACAGCTGAAAATTCACAAATATTTTTTTGCCCTCAGTTTTCAGACCTATTTGGCTTTATCTCCCCTCAACCGCTGCTTTTGATTTTTTCTTTCCACAGCTGAAAGCAAGGGTTTTATTTCAGCGTTAACAAAAGTATCAAGAAATTAAGGTTAAGGTGAGCACTCTATCGAAGAATTGTTGTCAATGTACAATCTCCATTCTTGATATTTAAGGAGTCGACGTCAACTCTCTTAGTTCACCTCCTAACTTTCCTTTTTCAAATATCCAAATTTTATTTTATTTTATTTTATTTTTTTTTTCTGAAGGGAGGAGAAATTAATAAAGAGAATTAAAAGAAAACAATGTTCTCCAGGAGGATCTCTTCAGCCGAGTGCAGCACATGGTATGCTGTATCCCTTACTATAAATGTTGCTGTGGTCTCAGTGAACCTCCTATCAATTATTGTTTTTATAAAGAACAGTAATCTTCGGACTCGTGCCATGTACTTGGCTATCAACTTGACGGTTGTTGATATGTTTGTTGGAGGAAGTGCCACTTTCGTTATAGTATTGCTTTTCCTCCTCTACGGTTGCGGAGCTGGAAGTACAGTTTTCATCTTTATTCCTGCGCGGGAATGGCCACCTATTTTGCTTGTGTTTTTCATGATCGACACCTGGGTTTCTCTCACCTCTTTAACCGGCATTGCAGTAATTTCGTTAGATAGGATGCATGCGACGTTTCGTCCATTCAGGCATCGCAACACTGAAAAATGGGTCTACGGGGTAACAATTGCGGGCGTCTGGATTTTAACTGCGATGATATTTATTCCCACTCCGATAATACGTCTCTATGGGAACTTGCATCAACAGTGGCAATTGGTATTTGCTTTCTACTTATGGCTGTCACATGGTCTCCTTTGTCTTTTTGTTATCTTTGTTTCTTACACCTCCATTGCTTTAAAATTTTGGTGTGGAACCCGTCCTCCGTCCCATGGTGCGGCCAATAGACAAAGAAAACTGACTGTGACATTATTCATAATGACCATTGTATCTTTGCTGCTGTTTTTACCATATCCGGTATATACTTTATCTACAGATAGGTCTTTCAACCTGACATTTTTACGCTTGAGATTATCTTTTACTCTTCTACACCACACAAACTCGCTTGTTAATCCCATAATTTACACAATCAGAATTCCAGAGTTCAGAAGAGCTCTCCTGATATTATCTAAACGTCGACAAAGACAAAATGTTGGTATTCCTCCTCAAGCCCGTTAAAACCAAAAGGGAATTCCTGGGACGTCCGCATATTTTTATCGATTCTTTAAACACCAACAACATGGTCCCCCGCGCGACTGCCTCAAAGCAACAATGCAGAAGATTGTTATGGCGACTGTTGAATTTCGTCGTGAAAACACTAAATAAAAGTTTGCGGAGCTCTCCGGACACCAAATTCTAAGCGTTTAATTGGATTAAAAATAACTTTGATGAAATTCACATGTCCCAACTAGAACCATAATAGGACTTAGTACCAATCAAGGGCGTGACTGGGCGCTCTTTGTCCTTTTAGGTAACACTTGATTTTAAGTTCATAATGGTAACAAGCGTGAAAAACAAGAGGGAGGAGGGAGAAATGTGCTTTAAATAAGTGAGAAGGGACAAAATAACTTTTAAGTTTTGTTATTAACTTTAATTAATTAAGACATTTTCTTTTACTTTTGTGGTTGTTGTACGTGGCCACAAGTTTTGCCTCTTTGAGCTACGTAATTGCTGCGGTATGTGCAAATGAAGTTCCAGCAATGATGGAGAGGTTGTACATATGAGGCTAGCTATGGTCACACTATACTGGATAGCTTTTGTGCCGCGACGAAAATCACACCGGATAGGGATTCGGTTGACACACGTGAACGGTGATTTCGACGCGATTTCAATGACGGAGCGCTCACAGGTGTTTATACTTTGCGGGACGGTTTGTCGTGTCAGCTTACTTTTGACTGCTTTTAATTTGTTTGCCATCTTTGTATGTATTATTTAGCAATCCTTTTGAGATGAAATAGTCCGGGGACGTATTTGAAGCTGTTAAAATCACTTACAGCAGGTGTTTTAAAAATTGAATCCACTATTCAGCCAGCATAAAGTATGCTTCATAAACAGGCAATTTCCGAGTTCCAAAAGCTCTCACTTTTCAAGCAGGCGAGGCTAAGTTTAAACTCCTTTTTTTCGATAATGAGTTTAGCTTGCATGAGAATATCAAATCATTTTCATCCAAATCATTTCGCTTTGAAACAGAGGCTTGGAGCAACTCGGAAATGGCAGATTAATATTATACATTTACATTCAGAATTAGTTGTTATCAAAGCTCTTGTTGTTATACTATACACGGTTTCAGTGTAAATTACGTCTTTTTTATTTCTACTTTCCGAAGCACTACTACGTATGTAGAATGGAAAACAGTCAGGTTTTTTTTTTTTTTTCATAATTTGTTTTGCAAAGACGCGAAGGGCCGGCATGAGATTTTCGTTAAAAGCGCGCGAGCCTTACACGCCCTGTAAAGCCCAGTCTCACTCTCCGTTTTCACCCTCTCGCTCCAGACTTTTGGTGTGACCGCTCACGCGTGCGTTCTTAACCTCGGCAAAAATACGAGCTGTTTTGCAGTCTGAATACGTATGTGGCCATTGATAAAATATAACAGAGTATGTAAAATGAAGCCAAGATCATGTTGTTTTATACACCGTAACATCTACTTTATAGGGCTTGTTAACTGTTGTTAGACGTTCTAAAATGTCTGTATCAGTAAAGTAAACCAATTTAGGGTATTCAATAAACATACTATTTAAACATGATTTTACTACTGGTGTTATCCGTGATCATGACTTTTTAATAGCTTAGGTCACTAGGAAAGGAGAGAACATTACGAAATGGGAATAAGACACTTGCACTGTCGTATGGAAATTTTTTTCTTTGTCAGGTAACTCTGAAAAGCGCGTAATTTTTTGTAAAGTTGAAACATAATTTTTTGTCAATTCTAAGACTATTACTCCTTTATTGTCATGAAAGACATCATTCATCGTTGTGTGGTGTATAAAGGGGCCGGTTTTATCGTTGTCGTACGATTATGACAGGGATATACGCCATCACGAACTCAACTCTCAGCCGTTTCTGAACACGCCAATAAGAACGGACATTATCCTCTTTGGGATGAGGTTAAGTTTTCTGACCGAGACCCTCACTGGTACTGTCGTGTCTCGTAGTGTTAAAGAGGGTATAGTCACGTAAGACTTCCCCCTAACAACATTAGACATTAAGAGGGACAATGGAATTGCGATTGTTGATTCGTGGATGCCCTAAGATTAGATAAACAAACAACCGATCAGTATCACTGCGGATCGCTGAGGGAACAGGCTCTTCCCCTAATAATGTCAAAACTTCTTCGGATCGAAGCCCAACAACGTAAACTTTATTGAAATTAAAGTTCTCCGCTGACCAGTCATCGGTTTTCAATTGATTGCAGGCTTAAATCCATATTTAAGTTTGCTTCTCGCTTTTTAATATAGCGAATGCTGAATTATTTCAAAAAGGCATTTGTTAAAAGAATCCTCGAGAGCTTCGCTTTTGGCCTTGGCTAAATCTGCATATTATTTGCTTACTGTGAATAAAGGGAAAAAACGCCGGAATGCAATTAGTCTAGCCTAAACCGTTTCTTTAATCAATTTATTTAGGAAAGTGAGAAGTGTGACTCTATCATTACCGGGGAAAATGCAAATCCTTTAACTTAAATACAGTCATCTTTATTTACGGTAATTTCAACAGCCTTTTGACTCAGGACTGGACCCACTCTTCAGCTTGATCATAAGTTTAAAATGCTAGTTGCGAGAGAATACACCGGTATCTATATAATATTTCTGGAACCTTTCTCTTCAATCTCTGAGCTCGAACCGAGAAAGGTCTATCACCTCCAGCCTTCCCTTTCAACAGTTTTAAACATGTTAAAAAAGCCACAGTTGAAATTGTGCGTCACTTTAACCACAGGCTGTATAATGTAAGACATTGAACAGTTCGTAGTAATGAGCAACGAACCACAAAGGAACGACACTTTCAAACAAACTGAACCAAAACCGGTTCACCCCAACAGACCACGGCTAGCCGTATAACATTGTACGTAATTTACTTCTTTTCACAATTTGACCTTTACACACTACAAAAGAGTCGAACCTTCCGTAAGCGACCACCCAAAATGCGACGACTTGCGGGAGATAATCGCTTACGGGAAAAGAACCACAGGCGGTCTTTCCCGAGAAGATGTCCGGACACATCTACTTTATGGAAGATAATTTGTTGCATGTAATTTCTAAGCTACGATATGAGTAGTTGCATGTTTTTGCTAATAAGTTATTCGTATATTCTAAATAGCATAGTACACAAAGTAAACATAGAGGTCAGACAATGCGTGAGGTGATCGTTTACAAGAGGTTAAAAACAGTGGAAAATTATTAAAATGACAGCCCCATAAAGCGGGGCTTGATCGCTTACAGGAGGAGGTCGTATACGAAAGGCTCCAACTGTGAGGCTTTGACTGGAAAAAATTTGGTTTTTTGGATAGATGATCGCTTACGAGAAGTGGTTGCACATGGAGGTTTATCCATAGTAGAAAACATGAACTCCTACAGGGCGGACCAGCATCTTTTCCTGTAGTTTATACTTAGTTGAATAATCCAGACTTATATGTGCACAATAATGCAAACAAGGCTAAACGAGAAGCGACCACCAATTTTGTTCGGGAACAAAGAGGAAACAGGATGTTTTCAATTAAATATCCCCATGCCAGTATGGATAAATTTTTAAGCGCTGTGACGTTTGAAAATCCAAAATTTAGACGAAAAGTCGTTATCTTTCTAATGCATCGAAAAGTTTGAATGACTTGATGCCTCTGACGTGGGCTTGGTCCCATTAGCGTAATTTAAAACCATTCATAACACGCGAAATAACACGCCTTATAAATATCGTTCGAAATCGTCCGATAAGGTAGCCTGAAATTCATCCGATTGCTTCGAGTCGTTTTCTCCTCTCAACAACGTCTGAATCGACCAGCCGTTAATGCCGTCCAGTGACGTCAATCACTACCCGAAAACCGGGTAGTGATTTTGATTGGTTGATTGTCTAAACATTCGCACAATTATGTATAATTATGAAAAATTTTAGCGGGATTGTCGCTTGATATTCAGCGGATCGCATCCCTGGCATTCTTTCGTTTAGTTCAAACATTTCGATAAGCTTAATCTTTATCTTAAACAGCAAAATTGCCCTTTTCTTCGAAACTGAAATGCTAAATTGAACTGCGAATGAAGAATCATTGCGGAGAGTCGGTAGGTTTTTCATTTAGAGCCGCTTTGTGGTTTCGGCGGCCGGTGATTTTGTTTACGCGACGTTTTCTGAGATCAATGTTATAATTGGATAATTCGACCTTCTTGCTATTTTTACCGTCAAGTGTAATGATTCCGTTAGCTTTTCTTTCTTGTCTCCTTATTTTTTTTTCTTCGTTAAGGACCAAATAGCTTCTTTTTAATTAAAGCAAATCATTGTGTTTTTGAACTAAGTGTTCCGTGTGTGTGTTTATTTCATTGCGTGATTGCGACAGAGTTTGATTATCAAGAATTTAGTACAACCGGTTAGGAGTTGTACTGCATGCAGTTGATAGTTTGAACGTTAAACATGAATTACGATCGAAAAAAATAAAGCATTTCTGTATCATGCAGACATTTCCAAACGAGATTTCTCGGTTTGCCACTTGAAAATCGTGTTTTGCTTTTTTGCATGAATTAAAGCAAAGGTCAAGGAGTAGTGACGTCACTGGACGGCATTAACGGCCGGTCGATTCAGACGTTACTAGGAGGGGGGTGAATAGGGGTGTGCAAATCCGCCGATCCGTGGTATTTTTAGGCCCTATCCGTCGATCCGACTTAATTTTTGTTGAAATCCGAATCCGTGTTACTAAAAAAAATTTTTCGTGGTATACAGAAAGTAGCGTTGTAGCATGAAAAAATGAATTACTCAATTTAGTTGTTCTGTAATCGCAACAGATGCGGGGCTTCATGTTTAAGAAGTTTTCGTTACAGCTTCAAAACATTAAGCATTAAGCATTAAGGACTGAGCTTATAATGTTTCTTCCAACAATACAGATTTGACTAATCAAAATTAATAGTCTGCAAGCTTGCAATGCCCTCAAAGATGGCGACAGAAACCGCGAAAAGGTTTATTAAGTTAACGATCAAGACAACCAAACTAGCTGAAATAGCTTCGAAGAACATAATTTATATCAATTCATGTATAAACCTACCGAACGTGCTCGCGTAGCTTCACCTCACTTCCCCACTGACTGGAATCGACGCAGCACCGAAACTTATCTTTTTGAATAAAGTCATCGCCTTTGGCACCTTCGTGGTAGAAAAAGGCTACCCACTCGATAGTTCTAGTTTCCATTTTGCAATTTGGACAATTTACACGAACGCATTCACAGATCTTGTCAGGTCACTTCGTAAGTACCGCCATTACCTGAACCATGTGTCACCATGCAGGAACCATGGACCATGCACAAGGTTGCCTGACGTCATTCCCGTCACGCTGTCTGTATATGCGTCGGGTCACGAGAAAGTCTCTTCCGGAAACCTCGGAAGTGGAACATTAGCCGACAAAACACCAGCACATTGACTAAGACCGACCAAAAATTGATGATCCGATCCACAATCCGAACTTCTAGGCTGACAGAATCCGGAAACCGGGCCAAAACTTTCAGCTGACCCGCGATCCACGGTATTCTTCAAATCCGCGAATCCGCTCGATTTATCGCCGAAATCCATAATCCGTGAGCTTTTTAAGGCCAAATCCGCCGATCCGCGGACCTATTCACCCCCCTCTACTAGGGAACTTAAGAACCACGACGACGACTTTGTCGACGACGACCGGAAGTGAGATACCGTTCACTGCGCTAGCGCGGTTAACAAATTTCGTCGTCGTGGTGTCGTCGACGACGCCCATTTGACTGATGAATTGTGTTTACTTCGAAGACAACACTGAGCTGTGCAGGCCGAGCGAGCGAACTCGTAAGTGACAAATTTATTTGTACGTATTTAGGTCAGGCAAATCATATATCTTTAATATAGAGGAAATGAACTTTATATGGAAAACAGCTATCGCATCGGAATG